GGCCCAACGACAGCATTGTAGTACGCCTGGTCCCCTGGTGGTGGAGCACCTGCCGCAGATGCGGCCGCAGAGAACTTCCTTGTCATGCTAGACGCATTCTCCAGTGCATTATAGGCCCGCTTCAGCGTGACGTACGCCTCATCCTTCTCCAGAATGATCGCATCCTTTGCCTCGATCGTCACTTTCATCTGCCTGTTCTCCTCTGCCAGACGGTCCTTCTCAAATCCCAGCTTTCCCGCGTCCTCGCGCAGAAGCGTCATCTGATCGTATGATCGCCCTTCATATGTTTGAGAATCTCCTGCAAAAAAGGGAAAGCGCGTCACCAATCGCTCTGCTGGAATGGTGGGTTAGAATCTTAGTAGACGCCTAAAAGTCTTACCGCTTCTGTCGACAAGGTGATGTCTGATCGAAGCCTGATCCCATATGCGTCCCTCGACGCCACTTCAATCGCCCACGTTTGGAACAGCGTCTCATTGCAGAGTTTGGAAGCCTGGACGTATGGATGCCGCGGGCAGGTACAAGGACGCGCGCCTCCCGTGAAGGGATGCTTGTCGCAGTGGACCCACATCATGGCTAGATCTTCGGCCACAATCTTGCGCCCAACATCCTTCAGGCTGTTAAAAAAACTGGCGCCGGCAATGTGGATGCCGTCTGTAGATTTGTTCTTGTTGAACTCCTCGACCTGCAAGATTTCCGACCCGAAAAAGCCATTGTTAAGGTCAACAGAAATGATCCCACAGATAGGGTCCCACCTACACGCACCCACAGGAACGCTCCCACAGACACCACACCGCAGATACGCTCTCACAGAAACCACACCACAGTAACGTTACCACAGACGTACTCACAGAAACGCTCACAGAAACGCACCCACATAGACTTTCCCACAGATACGCTCCCACAGATACGCTCCCACAGATATGCTTCTACAGAAACACTCCCACAGAAACGAACCAACAAATATGCTCCCACAGAAACCAACCACGGAAACCACACCTTAGATTCGCTCCAACAGAAACCACACCACAGAAACGGTACCACAAAAATGATCTTACTGAAACACACCCACAGAAACTTTGCCCCAGATACACTAGCACATATACACCACCACTTAAACGATCGCACAGAAACGCCCCCACAAATACGCTTCCAATGAGACGTTGACATACAATTGCTCCCAAGACAAAAACAAAGCCACAAAGCATCTGCGAATGCGATTCAGACCCGCAGAAGTGATTGTACCTTCTTCAATTCGCCCTCCAGCCACGGGTAAATGTGATGAACGAACAAATCTTCCAAACCGTCTGGCAGAGGGACGTCATGTCTTCCAATATAACAGTCTCCCTCCACGCCGCTGAATCCACCCAGCAGAAAGAGAGCCTGTCATGGAGGTGAGACGAGGTAACACTTGCGTATCTCATTCTGCTCCCATCCTCCCAGATGTGCAATCTGCGGTTCTGGACAAAGAAGGTCGCAGAGGATCTGTGCAGCGGATCTTCTGAAGATGTGGGTTACCTTGCTCAGCAACCACTTGGCCGCTTTTATCGCCCAACTGACCCACGTGTTGTGCATCTTGTACGGCAGCTCCCCCTGCTCGGGTCATCCAGGGCGAAGAAGAGGTGCTTCGACGACCACTTCGTCGGGTCGGAGAAGCCGAGAGGCTTAATTATCTCCCTCTTATTGTCCTTGTAGTACAGATGCATGAGGTTGTACACCCAGTGGATCCACAAAAACACGGCACCCATGGCGCACTGCTGCCAGTAGAGGCTACGCGTTAGAACCTAGTGGTCCAACTTGTTGTCGTGCACAATCTTCGACTTTCGGCTCGCCATGACGAGGACGGGCACCTTTGTGGGGGCGGCAAACGAGGTGTTGCTCGGAATCTCATGGATGTACATGTTGGCGAAGCGGATCTGTCGAATGCTGCAACCCCTTTCCAGCATGTAGTGTGACTGAAGAATCATCACCTTCACCACCAATGCCCTCCACAGAGTCAGACTGGGCTCATTCACAGCTTTGTCGAACTTGTCTGTGGCAGCGGTCAGCAAGGTCGACTCGTTCAGCTGGCGAAACTGGTCTGCAGAGTAACAGTCGTCGAGGGACCCTCGATGTTGATCCTTGCCCTCTCTGCAGAAAACGCAGTGGAAGAAATGTTAGATCTAATCTTTGCTCAACGACCGTGCTGTGAAGGCAAAGTAGGCAGAACACGCAAAACCTTACGGGATCTGTTGAGCATTCAACTGTCGTAGCTTGACCTTCACAAGATCTCGCACAGATGCGATAAGGGCTGTCGGCAAGGATGCGTCCTCGTTGAACAGAATGGCATCGACGGAGCAGAGGCAGCCCAAAGCGTTCATCCAGGCTTTCATCATGCCCGCCGTGCATTTCTTTGGGGCTTTCCTTGCGATGACCTTTTGACCCTCTTTCAAAGCTTCGGCCTGCTCCTTGGTCTGCCAAAACATGTACTCAATATACGCTTCGAGCCTCCACTTCGTCATGCGTGGTCCATGCAGATGGATCTCGGAGAGGGGGACTTTACACCAATCTTTCCCCCGATTGTTACCCAGGGACTCGCCAACCTCGTCATCGTGCTCCAGCAGATCTCCCTCCAGAATCTTCAGATTCTTGACTTCGTTCAAGAACTTCACGACCCACTTCTTGAACTCCAGAAAATACCCGGCGTACTGTGGTAGAGTGCTTTTCGCCTCGACCTTCAGCAGAGGAACTGATGCCCGGTGAACCAAGCTTTCTTTGGTTGTTGTCTCCACGTACGCATTACCCGCGTACGTGTTTCTGCTAGGCTGAGACGGGACTTCTACGCGGGCAGCCGATTCAGAGCCCTCTTCCCTTGTCTCCTCCTCCCCCTTATCCCCCCGCTGCCCGCACCCCTCTCCCTCCCCCTCCTCTTCTGGTCGTTCTCCGGTCAGATCCACCCCTGGATCTGCCAATCCCTCATCTCTTAGTTTTTTCTTCGGTGCCATTTCCTCCTGCTGCTCCGGTGTACAAAGCGGATAATCTTCTACGTCATTTCCTTCAGACGAAGCCCCAACAGCATCCGCCTCTGCTTCGCCCTGTGCACACGTTATGAACGTTTCATCTTCATCCGCCTGCGTACAATCAACGAACATTTCAACGCCATCCTCTTCCATCGCGATCCTGTCTGGGGAAGTCTACGACTGATAGAAACGCCCCCACAGAAACGTCCCCGCAGAAACGCTGCTACCCTAAACCCCCACAGAAAACGTCTCCACAGAAGCGCCTCCACAGAAACGACTCCACAGAAGCGCTCCCAGAGAATCGCTCCAACAGAAAAACACACAGAGAAACGCTCGCACGGAATCGTTCCCACAGAAACGCCCTTACACAAACACACCCAGAGAAACTCACCCACAGAAACGCTCCCAGACAATTGTGCCCACAGAAACGTGCCCACAGAAACCCCTCCGCAGAAACGCTCCCACACAAACGTGCCCACAGAAACGTGCCCACAGAAACGCCTCCGCAGAAACAACCCCACAGAAGCGCCCCCACAGAAACGCTACCACAGAATCCCGCTCACACAGACGTGTCCACTGAAACCATACCAGTGAACCGAACCCACAAAAACGCTGCCACATAAATGTCCCCACAGAAACGCACCCACACTGAACCCTAACAGAAACGTTCCCAAAGATACGCACCCACAAAAGTGCCCCCAAAGAACGGTCCTACAGAAATGCTTCCACAGAGTTGCTCCCACAAAACCGTCCCCACAGAAATGCTCCCACCCTAAACGCCCACAGAAACGTCTCCACAGAAGCGCCTCCACATAAACGACTCCACAGAAGCGCTCTCAGAGAATCGCTCCAACAGAAAAACACGGAGAAACGCTCGTCCAGAATCGTTCCCATAGAAACGCCCTTGCACAAACGCACCCATAGAAACTCATCCACATAAACGTTCCCACACAAACGGGCCCACAGAAACGTGCTCACAAAAATGCCTCCGCAGAAACGACCCCACAGAAGCGCCCCCACAGAAACGCTACCACAGAATCCCGCTCACACACACGTGCCCACAGAAACCCTACCACTGAAACGCACCCACTGAAAATGCTGCGACATAAACGTCCCCACAGAAACGCGCCGACACTGAACCCTAACAGAAACGTCCCCACAGAAACGCGCCCACACTGAACCCTAACAGAAACGTCCCCAAAGATACGCACCCACAGAAGCGCCCCCAGAGAACGGTCCTACAGAATCGCTCCCACAGAATCGTCAGAACCGAAACGCTCCCACAGCAACGACCCCACAGAAACCCCCAACATAAACGTTCCTACGACATCGCTCCCACAGAAACGCTCCCTCCGAAACTCTACGACGGATATGCTCCCACCGAAAGGAGGAACCTAACTTCTGAGTGCCCAAGTCCCCAGAATTCCCATCGCAGATTCGAAAAAGGAGACAGATCCAAGTGCACGCCGTTTTATACTCGACCTGCCCCCGAGTCCCCGGTAGAAGAACATCAAGGCCAGGCAGACATTTTTCATTATATTTGCCCATCACCAAGCAACAAGGTGTTCTAAAGTATAACAGGTAAAAAATCATTCAACAGGTATGTTCTACATACTACTCAACCGTAGTGTTTCAACAATATTTATCCTTCTCCCCCGGGTTACCAACGTCATCGGACGACGTCGCTAGACGACGCGGAGATTGCCGTCAAAACCGACTCCGTCGCCAGCTACAGTGGCGGCGACGACAGACCCACGGATACGGGGTTTTATCAAGAGGGGCATGTTTTTAGCCCATCCCCTTCGACGACGTAATCCCCGGAGGTTCGGCATTCGGGGGGCGGCAGGCGCTGGCGGGGCCCCCCCGACTGTTCCGCCCTAGGGGTCCCAGTCCCAACGCGAGGACCTGGGCGTTGGGACTGCCGGGCAAACGCGCAGGACCTGAGAGTTTTGGGAGTCTTATTCCCCCTACCGTATGGGCCCTATTCGACTAAGTCTAGATTCGCGAGTCGCAGATTTGGAGCATAGAGCATACCCGCTGTACGACGTTCTGTTATTCACAGCTTCGATACTTCATTCCGCGCTACTCTACAAGTTCACCCATAACACTGGACCAAACATGCCGCAAGTAGGTCAGTAGGTGGACATATCCCAGCCGTCACTGAGCAACACTGGTATTCTAGGCATGCTCTCATTTCATGGCTGGAGTCCAACGATCCAGCACGCGATTTTCCACCCGCCTTGAGAATGCCGCTTCGAAACCCACATCCAGCTCAAATGTGACCCGCGGATTCTGTGTTCCCAAGGGAAATCAGACGCCAGGTGACCAGACACAGCCGTTTCGCCAGGCCAAACGGTCATGGCTAGGCACGCAGTCTCCCCTAACCAGCGGGTCAGGAGGATTAGGGAGGATTCCGCTACGGTGGCTCGGTCGAATGTTCGTTCAGGCGATTGTGCTTATAGCGGTGGCTCAATTCGTCCACGTCGCCACGCTGTCGAGCTCCCGATGCAATTGCGATTTGACCCCGTTAGAAGAGAAGCAAGGGAGAAAAATTGGTACTTTGAGATTACCGGGCTCATCTCAGCCGTTGATTCCGGAGTTTTGGAACACCTCGCTTGATCGGGACCTGGACTTATCTCCGCTGTGCAAACGAGTGCTGACCAGTGCGACGGATGGTAATGTGGTAACCAGCTCACCTGACGGAGCAGATAAACTTACAAGTGCCGCATTACCTGCCGGTGTAACGTCTTGCCAAAGAGAGCTCCGCGTGGCTCTGCACAGTTGGGCGAAAGAAGCAGCGAAAAGAGAAAAGAGTTTAACCCATACAGAAACATCTAATATCGAGGATACTCAGTGGGACTTCCACCAATCACGTTCGGCAGAGCTCCAGTTGGAGTCAGTCCAGGCACGTGGCGATCTGGGCCACGTGTGCTCTCGTGATTGGCTGAACGGCGTCATGGCTCGATTACCTAGCAGCAAGATCATTAGAGCGTCGCTGAAGCGCAACAACATCACAAGGGAGAGCCTTTTAGCGGGGATAAAGTCCACATGCGATGGCGTCAGGGAGATGGAGATTGGTTTGATCAAGGGAGCCGTTTCAGCAGACCTGATTGGCCAGGAGGACAACAGTGGTAGAGCTGTAGGCAGCAGTCTTAACAGCAGCCGTGGCATCAACAGTGGTTCCAGCAGCAGCAGCAGCAGCAGCAGCAGTGGTGATGGTGGTGATGGCAGTGCACGTGCGGAATGGCCTGAGGCATGCTGGCCCATTCCTGGCGTGCCATTCAACAGATACTCGGTCAGTGCTCCCCTCCCTCCTCTACCTCCCTCCTCTACTCGGAGCCACTCCACTCCACCTACCCGTTTTAAATTGCCATCTCCCTCCTACAGCCCTTCCCCAAGCGCCGCTCCCTGGCGTTTGCGGCAGTCAGTCAACCGACCACTGCCCCCCTCCCTGTTCGCCCCAGCCCTCTCTCCTGTTACTCCCCCTATAGCCCTTCCCCAATCGCCGCTACCTGGTGGTTGCTGTGGTGACGGAGCAGCTGAGCAGCCAACCATCACTCCTCTCCTCTCTTCCCTGCTGCCCTCACTTCCCCTTATCGCAGCCCTTTTCCAAGCGCCGCTACCTGGTGGTTGCTGCGGTGACAGAGCAGCTGAGAAGCTGAGCAACGCACGGAGCCACCCCTCCACTCTCCCCGTTTTGATTCGCTATCCCCCTCCTTGCAGCCCTTCTCCAAGCGACGGTACTTGGTGGTAGCGGCAGTGACAGAGCAGCTGAGCAACGCGCGGAGCCATCTGGTGGAGGCTGCCCGGCTGGCGAAGAGAACAGGGCGGATCCTGGTGCTGCCTAAGGTGAGGAGAGGGGGTGCTGCCTAAAGTGAGGAGAGGGGGTGCTGCCTAAGGTGAGGAGAGGGGTTGCTGCCTAAGGTGAGGTGAGGGGTTCCGCCAAAGGTGGGGAGAGTATGTGCAGCCCAAGGCAAGGGAAAATCACTTTGTTAGGATCCTGACTCAAAAGAGGAATCAACGCACCAAGTCATCTGGTGGAGGGGAGGCTACCAACCAGGCTGGCGAAGAGAACATGGCGGATCCTGGTGCTGCTGCGAAATGTGAGTGGAGCTCATTTCGATTTCAAAGAATGTACTTTATTATTCGAAAAGGTACCTTTTGATTGAAAGAGGCGACGCACGGAGCCATCTTGTGGAGGCTGGCTGAGCAGGGAGGATCCTCGTGCCATGCTGCCAAGGGTAAGGGACGCTGCCACTGCCGTAAGAGGAGCACCTTGTTTCCAGAAGAAACAACAGATAAAGCCGCCTGGTGGGGCTGCCAGGCTGGTAAACAGGACATGCCGCTTCTCGGTGCTGCCAGAGAGGTAAGGGAAGCTCACTTGGTCCTAAGAAATGGCACCTTATAATTGGAAAGAACATCTGGTTTTGGGAGAAAACTTTTTTTTCTCCACCCCTCTGATTTCCCCTTCCCTTCCACCCTTCTGTCCTTCCCTTCCCCTCCGCCCTTCTTCTTCTCCATGATTTTCGTCTTCTCCCCCCTCCTGCACAGCTTTGTCTTTCCTCTGCGTTCCAGCCTCCCACGCTCCCCCCAAGCTCCGTCTCTTGTCTGCCCTTCAGCCAGTCACCGAAACTGCTAGTCAAGGCAGGATGGGATTCACTCAAATCGCCTCATAGCCACACCTCCCCCTTCTCCCGCCTTCCTCCCCCCCCCGCCCCCCTCCCCTGATTGGAAAAAAAACTCCAGGGGGCCAATAGCCGTATCTCGCTCGACTTGCACCTCCCCATCTGCTCCTACTGGGACATTTCCCGCTTTACCCCGTACGAGTGGGTATCCCCCGAGTTCTACCTCCTCACAGCGCGGGCGGCCCTCACGCGCCCCTCGGTGGGGTTCGTGTGGGTGCAGTCGCCCAACATGCTCGTGAGGGGCGCGTTTCAATCCGGCATGGTGGGGGGGGAGTTGCTGGCGCCGCTGCTGGTGCACGCGATGGGGCATGTGCCGTGCGCCAGCAACACACTGGATGTGACCATGCCGGCTCGCAGCGATGTCGTGATCAACATGCTGCATGCCTGGTGAGTCAGGGGCGTGCTGCCTGGCTGGTGCCATCTTTTGTTTGAGGCGCCTCAAATGGGTGTGCTTTGGGGCGGCCCTCACGCAACACGCGCCCTTCAGTCACTGGGGTTCGTGTGGGCACAGTTGCCTAACATGCTCGTGAGGGGGGCGTTCCAAGCCGGCACGGTGGTGGGAGGGGTGCTGGCGCTGCTGCTGGTGCACACGCTGGGGCATGTGCCGTGCGCCAGCAACACTCTGGATGTCACCATGCCTGCCTGCAGCGACTCCATGATCAACATGCTGCATGCATGCGGAGTCGTGGGTTGCGCCCTCATCCCCGTGCCCCGCGTCTCGTTTCCAGGTCACTTCATTTCTCAGCTTGATTGATGTTACTTGTGGCCTGAATTCTCCAAGAGGGAGATGTATCTCAAGTGCCCTGTGCCCTGTGCCCTGTGCCCTGTGACTCCCGCGCCCTGAACCAGCTAGCTTACAGCCCTCCACTGCACCTCACAGCGCAACACACTGGATCCAGCAGAGCTGTCAATTGGTTTGGGGCCAATACTTGGGTGGCTGGGTCCCCCGTAAACAGCCCTGAAATTTCCGGAAAGCGACCGAACTGAGCCCTGAATGCATACGGGCTGGGGTTCAAACCGTAACTTGAAATCAGGGTTGCGCGGGGGACTGTACTTTGCCTGAGAGAAAAACTTCGTAATCGTCCAACAGGGTAGGCAAGGTGAGTGGCGAGGCCAGCCTGTTTTCGCAGGATAATTTGTGTGCCAAGTCTGATTACATTTCTCAGTTATGCATAGGTGTCACTGACTTGGCCAATTTCTGGGATGCGGGAGTGTGTGGGAGGGGCTTGTGTTGTGACTGGCTTGGGAGACTTGGCCAAAAAAATATGGGTGGGGATGAGGGAGGGGGAAGTGGGGGTGTGGGAGAGGGGGATATTGGAGTATTGTCGCAGGCTGTGCAGGACTTGTCGAATTCTCTGCGGGTGTGGGGGACTTCACCAATTTTCCTCTGTTCGGGTGGGGTGTGGGAAGAATGTCTCTGGTTTGGAGGACTTAGCCGAAATTTCTTAGCCCAGGGGGAATTCTCTGGGGGTGCAAGGGGTGAGGGAGGAATGTCTCTGGGTGTGGGGGACTTAGGCGAATTTTCTGAGTTTGGGTGGGATGCGGGAGGGATGTCTTTAGTTTGGAGGACTTGCCAAATTATCTTGGCGGAAGGGGAAGGTGGGGTGGTGGGGGTGGGAGAGGAAGGTCTGCCTAGTGTCAAGGTATGTCTAGGACCAGGTACAGAAAATCAGGGAAATGGCTCAACTCCGCCCTTAACGAATCTGGAAAAGGGCTGACGATCCCAAAACCACCGAGATCAAAAACTTTGTTCTTGATCTGTGGGGCGTTTTGGCTGGAGATCAGGGTTTAGGTTTTTGGTCCCAGGGGGTTTCGGGATCCTCCTCGCTTTAACCATCACAAGCTAGTCCTGAACCAAACCCTTAAAAGTCGGACCCTGACGGACTGCTTACCCGGAATGTTCAGGGCATTAAGGGCATTTGCCCTTGAATCGACAGGCCTCATCCAGACACTCACACTTGTTGTCCTTTTACCCTGTAACTTGTAACCTGGCTGGGTGCATCCAGGAGGGACAAGGACGTGATCATCTGGCTCAAGCACGGCCCCTCTCGAGTGGAGTTCCCGATCCCCTCTGACTCCCTCGCCCTGCGCCAGCTGCCCTACAGTCCTCCGCTGCACGTTACCGCGCAACGCATCCTCGCCCGCCTGCCCAAGCCCCTCATTGCCGTCCATTACCGGTCTGAATGGATTGCGTATCGAGTGGTGAGTGCTGGTAGGGAAGACTGTGAATTCCATCTGGCAGCTGCCCTACAGCCCTCCTCTGCACCTCACAGCGCAGCGCATCCTTGCCCGCCTGCCCAAACCTTTAATTGCCGCGCACTACCGCTCCGATTGGATCGCATATCAAGTGGTGAGTGGTTGTAACTTGTAGGGGAGACTGGGAGTGGGGTTATGGTAGAGGGCGAGTGCCCTCTGACACCCTCGCTCTGCGCCAGCTGCCCTACAGCCCTCCTCTCCACGTCACAGCGCAACGCATTGTCGCCCGCCTGCCCAAGCACTTAATCACCATGCACTACCGCTCCGAGTGGATTGCCTACAGAGTGGTGAGTATTTGTCTGCCTCATCCTCTCATCCCACCATTCCCTGGTGTCTTCCTCGTCCTTTCATCCCCTGGCCGAGCCTCTCATTGCCGTGCACGACTGCTCTGCTCAGAGTGGATTGCATATGGCACGGTAAGGGCAAAGCTCAACTGTGTGTCAAGTGCATGGTACAGGCATGCCTCACACAAGGAAGCATGCACTCCCAGTGGCAGACGAGTTTGAGGCGGGCGGGAGCATTTCCCGCCCTCACAAACTGAAACAGTGCCTGTCTACCAGTCAGCTTCAGAATCGCAGATCTTGTAAGTCCAAAAGCCGCGAAACAATGCGAACCAAAACGAACACTCCCGACCGGCGTTTGCATCTGGGGTTTTCTGGATGAAACGCTTGATGTCGGGGCTATATCGCATGGCATTTTTGAGAAATCTAAAAAACGCCCTGGATGAAACGCCTGATGTTGGGGCTACATCGCATGGGCAGCATCGCAACACTTCTGCACCTGGCCATCGCTTGTATCGCGCGACCTCGCTCGTGCCACCTGGCGCTAATTTCTGACGCCCTGGCGTCTAGGGTCGCGCTGCAGTAGTTATGTTGACCTGTCCCTCAGTTCAGCTCATCCTATCCGCACCGAGCGAGCACGTGGCACGCAGTTGAGCGTTGCCCTAAGTAGGGCTTAGTAGGCCACTTCATTCACGATTCCTCGAGTGCTTTGTACTTCTCTATTTCCGTTGCCACTTTTCTCCCCACGGCCATTCCTCTTTGTCTCAACCAGCAAGGCACCACGCAGGGCAACGCGGGGAAAGATGCTCGGCCCGTACAGGCAGAACGACTCTCAAGGGGCCGCCAAAGACTCGAAATTATCCCTCTCCCACCTAATCCCCCCCCCTTTCCTTGTCCTCAAGGCACGATTAACCAGCAAGGAACAGCAGAGGCAGGGTCACGCCAAAAGAGCCGGCAAGCTCATGATGCGGCGTGCAGACCCCAACTCTCCATCCTCCCCTTGGTTCCCCACCATCTTCTCATCCAGGCAAGGTCAACCAGCAATGCACAGTACGGGCAGGGCGACGCCGGGAAAGCTGCCGAGCTCATGAGGTGGTGCGCAGAGCAGGCAGTAAGAACCATTGAGGCGGTCCAACAGAACAGCAGCAGCACATCCGTCTACATTGCTGCTGACGTCCCTTCGAATGTAGCCGCTCCTTCCACAGATGGCCCTTCCTCAAATGGCCCTGTCCCAGGTGGCCCTTCCTCAGATGTTCCTCCCATAGATGGTCCATCCAACACCAGTTCTATTTCTCGAGGGGTCATGCGGTCTGCCTCATGGGCGGGGACCATAGGGGCCTATGGGGGGATGGAGAAGGAGCGGGAGGGGCTGGTGGGCGCTGCTATGCAGGGGTTGCAGTTAATGAGGCGGTCTATACAGGGGACAGTGATGATTGAGGAGCTGCTTCCTGAAGCCAGTTCGTATGACACCGGTGAGTGCGTTTGGCTTGCATGATGTGTTTGGCTTGCATGCTGCGTTTGGCTTGCATGCTGCGTTTGTCTTGCATGCTGTGTTTGGCTTGCATGCTGTGTTTGGCTTGCATGCTGCGTTTGGCTTGCACGCTGTGTTTGGCTTGCATGCTGTGTTTGGCTTGCATGCTGCGTTTGGCTTGCATGCTGTGTTTGGCTTGCATGCTGTGTTTGGCTTGCATGCTGCATTTGGCTTGCATGCTGTGTTTGGCTTGCATGCTGTATTTGGCTTGCATGCTGCGTTTGGCTTGCATGCTGTGTTTGGCTTGCATGCTGTGTTTGGCTTGCATGCTGCATTTGGTTGGGCTTACTTGCCGACTATGCCACGTGTGGTCAATGCGACGTTACTAGTGGACTCAATAGAATAGAAGCACCCCATTGTCTTATGGTTGCAGTCTTTACTGATGCTAACGTGTGAATGTGTGTGTGCGCGCTTGTGTGTGTGCAGGAATGCTAGCGATTCTTGATAAGCTGGTCTGTGCACAAGCCGATTTCTTCATCGGAGGAACGGTGGTTTGTGGGGGGAGGAGAGGTTTTGAAAGGGACATTTTGCAGCATCGGGCACTTTTGAAGAATGTGAAACAAGAGACAGACCTCAGATGGGGTGGAGAAGATCTCCCCTTGACGTTACAGTAATTTGAAGCTAAAAGCACAAGGTTACAAACTGCACTTAGGTCCACAACAACATACTAAGTTGGGGCAATGTTGCAGTCAGTAGTCCTACTATTCTCTCAGAATTTTTAATGATAATAGAGTTAGAGAGTACATGCACATATACCTAAATGTTGTACCCTCTAGGAGGTTACCCTATACAGTCTATACAAACATGATCAATAATACATGTTTGACACACCCCCTGGACTGCATAGGGGAATGTCCTAGACAAGCAGCTCAGGGCGGCACTACTAGTCCAGCCTCTGAGACAAGGGTCTAAAAGACCAGTCAGAAGGAGTACAGACAAGACAAGAACAAGTACAGGGCGGCACTACTAGTCCAACCACTGTGAGAGGACACAAGTCCAGTCTGAGTGTACACATATATATAGGACAGTACAAAGTCAAGGCCCGAGTAAGTGAGGGACTACAGGAACCAGACCAAGCTGTACACAGTGCCGCTGATGATCTTTAGGCGCAAGCGCCTTCGTAAAGATATCAGCTGTGTTGGCACCGGAGGCCAAGTGTACTACGCGAGCCTGGCGACGCTGCTGTAGCTCGCGCAGGAGGAAGTACCGCAGCTGGATGTGCTTCGCTCTACCCTCGAGTCGAGGCTCCTGACACAGGAGGATCATGGCCCTGTTGTCAGCGTACAAGACCGGGGCAGAGCTAGGCCGCTCACCTACGTCAGTGAGCAAGAAGGTCAGCCAGCGGAGCTCCTGTGCCGCCATGGCACCGGCGTAGATCTCAGCCTCACAGCTGGACTGGGCAACAGACGAAGAGCGGGTAGCTCTCCACGAGACAGCACCTGAGCCAAGGCTAAAACAGTAGCCCTGGGAAGACCTGAGCGTCTCGGCGTCGTCTGCCCAAGAAGCGTCTGTGTGTCCAGTAAGGACCACTGGCTGCGTCCGCCTAGCACTAACCCCATGCCCGATGTACTTGCAAGATAACGCAGAACCCTCTTAGCGGCAGACCAGTGCTGAGGTCGGTGTCTGCCTGTGGCCACGAAACGAGCCAGGATGCTGAGAGGGTATGCGAGATCTGGGCGAGTGCAAGTCATCAGGTACATGAGGCAACCCACTAGCTCAGCGTAAGGACCACTGGGATCTGCCGACTCCTCAGAAACTGGAGCGGAGAGTCTGTGGTCCAGAGGAAGAGGGGTGGGCTGTGCGGAGGAGAACTGAAGGCCGAACCTCTGAAGGACCTGGCGCACCAAGTGTGACTGAGTCAGGGTGATGGTGCGCGCGGCTCTGTCCCTGGAGATCTGCAAGCCAAGGTAACGGCGCAGCTCTCCAAGGTCAGTGCAGGTGTGTCTCTTCAGCAGCTCTGCCTTCACAGAGGCCAGTGCGTCCCTGTCAGCTGTGGCAAAGACCAGGTCGTCTACGTAGACAAGGATGTAGAACGGAGTCGGGCCAGCACGAACGAAGAGCGAGGGGTCTGCAGAGGACGGAAAGAACTGCAGGTCAGCAAGGGTAGCACGCAGCGTGTCGTGCCACTCACGAGGCGCCTGGCGCAGGCCGTAGACTGGGCGCCGCAGAAGCCACTGGGTCCCAGGGGGGAAAGTGCCAGTAAAGCCCTGAGGACGACGCAGGTAGACCTGCTCGTGAAGGCTGCCCTGAAGGAAGGCAGTGGAGAAGTCGAGGGAGTGAAGCTCGTAGTCACGCTGAGCCGCTACGTGTAACAGAACCCGAAGAGTAGTCATCTTCGGTGTAGGAGCGAAAATCTGAAAGAAGTCCACCCCCTCGCGCTGACTGAAGCCTCTAGCCACGTAGCGCGCCTTGAACACAGGCGGCTCTCCAGGAGGGCGCTTCACCTTGAAGAGCCAACGGCCATCGACCACGTTCACCCCAGGTGGGGGAACTGCGTCGACGAAGGTGCCGGTGGATCTCCAAGATGCCATCTCCTGTTCCATGGCAGCTATCCACTGAGAGGCCCAGGGTCCCGAAACCGCCTCAGCGTAAGTACGAGGGGTCGGGATGTCGAAAGCGTCTGGGTCACCCTCAGGGACTAGTAGCATGGAACAGAGATGGGGAGCAGCCTCGGACAGGAAAGCAAGCTCAAACTGGCGGTCCTCCAGGACGTCACTGCCGAGGGCAGGAGCACCCCCGACAGACGGAGGACAGGCAGGGTCAGAGACCAGAGCGGTAGCATAGTCAAGGCGGCGGGTAGAGGCGAAGTCAGTGACCGCAGCGACAAGGGCGTCCAGACTCGACACGGGAACAGACGGGTCGGTAACGAGAGAGGCAAGGACCCGAGGAACAAGAGGACGAGCGGCACGAAAGTAGTCAGATAGAGGAGGAGACGCAACGACAAGAGAGGACGGAGGAGGAGACGGGAGGAGGGGAGGACGAGACGCGTGGGACCGGAGCAACATAGGGTGAGAGCGCGGGACGGGGGAGACAGGACGAGCACGGGAGGGGCGGCGAGAGCAGACGTGAGAGGGAGGCGTCGGGTCAGGAGACAGAGGAGGGGACACTGGTGGGGAACGAGGGGGAAAACGAGCCGGGGACGAGTCCGGCGGAGGGAACACGGGGCCGTAGACGGGAAGAGGGGGAGACGGCCGGAGAGGAACAGGCGCAGGGTCAGGGGACGGAAGGCCGAGCAGACGGAGGGTGGACACCGGCGGGGACTGCTGCTGCGGCGACACAACACCAACACCAGAGCCACAAGCTGCGCGACGGCTACCTCCCGAACCCTCCACACCTGCACCCCCAGAAGGGACACCCCCAGAGCCCGAAACCCCGCCAGCACCGGTACCACCCCCAGGCCCGCCGGGACAAGCCACGACAGGAGCCCCGGGACTAGGACCCACCTCAACGCCAGCACCCCCAGAGTCCACAAACAGCGGCAGCGACGTCGGCGGCGGCGGCGGCGGCGGCTGCAGCGACGGCCGCGACGGCGGTGGCGGCGGAGAGGACGGCTGCAACGGCGGCGGCGGTGGAGACGACGGCTGCAGCAGCTGCGGTGACGGCGGCTGCGGAGGCGGTGGAGGAGGAGACACCGGGGGAGGGACAGACGGCGAGGACTGCGCCGGAGGACTACCAGAGTCAGAAGACTCGTCGACCGGGACGACCGACGGGAGGGGGGTGACGTGAGACACACCAGAGGGGGCCGGACGAGGGGGCGGGGGGGGGGGAGGGGCAGGGACCACCGGGGAAGGAGGGACCAGGAACAGGGGGGGAGTAACCGGGGGACCACGGTGGGGGAAGCGGCGGTAGAAGGAGACGGACTCGTCAAAGGTGACGTCGCGAGAGTGAAAGAAGCGGTGAGACGGCGGGTGGTAGAAGTGCCAGTCGGACGCGTCAAGGGGGAAACCGAGGAAGACGCAGGGAAGGGTGCGGGCAGTGAGCTTGTCCGTGCCAGAGGCACGAACGTGAGCAAGGCAGCCCCAGACGTGGAACGCAGACGCGTCACCAGGGGACCCGGTCCACAGAAGGGTCGGCGAAACCGGCGGCCGCTGGGGGTGCGGCCACAAGTTAAGCTGGTGAGCGGCGTAGCGCACGGCGAACGGCCACAGAAAATGGGGTGCACCGGCGTGGATCATGGAGGTGCGAGCCACCTCCATGACCAAACCGATGCGTCGCTCAGCGACCCCATTCTGCTGCGGGGAGTCCGGCAGGGTAAACGTCTGGGTGATGCCCTCCGCACGACAGAAGCGACCAAGGACACCTGAGGCAAACTCGCCACCCCGGTCGGAGTGGAGGCGCAAGGCAGGGAGACCGCGGTGGACACGAGCAGAGACAAGCCAGGGGATGAGAACGTCAGGCACGTCGGCCTTCCGCTCCAGGGGAAAGACAGTGGTGTAGCGCGTGAAGTCGTCGACAAGCACTAGGAAGAAGCGCTCACGACGCGGCCCATGGACCGGGGCGGGGCCCCAGACGTCCATGTGCAGAGTCTGCAGTGGTGCGGTGGTAGGGGGAAACGAGGAGGAGTGAGGGGCACGGCGGAGCCGGCCCTCGACACAAGGCGTGCACGGGGGGGCGGGGGAGGAGGGAAACTCGGGGAACGAACCGGGGAGACCAAGGACGAGACCGTGCTGGGACATGTGACGCAGGCGCGGGAGTGCAGGGTGACCAAGGCGGTGGTGCCAAAGGAGAGTCGGGTGAGTGAGGGACCGACAGGAGCACGCAGCAGCAACCTGGGTGGACGCAGCGACCTGGGGGGAAGACCCAGCCGGAGAAGTCGCGGTGTCAAGTGTGAACAGGCCGGACACCGGGTCCCGGGGGAAAGTGGTAAGGGGGGCACCAGTGGCGGCCTCAGTACAGACAGCATACCGCTCGTTACCAGGGAACGTAGTGGTGACGCCAAGGTCCTGGAGGCAGCCGACACCAACTAGGTTTCTGGAGAACGAGGGGATATGCAGACCTGTGAGCGAACCTGAAGGAACCGCCGGACAGGGAAGGGAGGTGGAACTGCGGGCAACGACGGGACCACCGGAGGGGTCAGCAAGAGTAACTGCAGCGGGAACAGGCAGCGGCGTCAGCGTCGTGGAGTCGCGGAAGAAACACCGGGAGGCGCCAGAGTCCAAGGTGAAGGAAAGCGCAGCAGTCGCGCGAGGCGGCAGTGAAGCGGTGGAAGCACCGAGGCTAAGCAAAGCAGGAGATCCTACGCCTGACGCAGCAGGGGAGTCTACGCTAGGCACATCTACATTAGGCAACACAGGGTAATAAGAGGGAAGCACACTAGAGTCATCAGCATACATCACATGCAAGGCTGCTACAATGGCATCCATGTCCAAGTCAAAAATCTGAATGCTACGCCTAAGCAAGCTGTGCCAGTCCGGGAGGTCGGGCGCCGGGCCAAAGCGCTGACGGAACAGGTCGTCCAGACGACGGAAACAACGAGGAGTGGAATGGCCGATCTTACCGCAAACGAAGCCGCGGCGAGGACCGGTCTGGATGTGGTACTGACAGCGCCCGCCTCCAGAACCACCACCCGGCGCACCACCACGCGCACGACCACCACCAGCTCCAGGCCACCCAGGCGGGAGAGCACTCGCCTGCCTCGTCTGCGGCGGCTGCTGCGGCTGCTGCGGAGGCTGCGGCTGCGGCGACTGCTGCTGCTGCTGCTGCTGCGACTGTGGAGGCAGCGGGGCAGCTGGACTGGGCAGGGTCCCCACGTCCGCACCGGCACCGGACGACCCGACTCCACCACCACCCCCACCCGCACCCCCGC